TGACATCAGAGACGACCCCACAGTGCTGGACCTCGGGGTCCTGCAGGCTCCAGCCTCTCAGACTCCCTCTGGCACTTCCACCCTGGCCCCCAGCAGAACCACCCTGGCCCCCAGCAGAACCACCCCAACATCTGGCCCTTCCATCCGGGCTCCCAGCACAACCACCGGAGCCCTGAGCAGAACAACACCGACCCCAAGCCCATCTGCACAGGCCTCTGCTGCTGAGATCCTGCCCTCCAGTTCTTCCTCTGAGGCCAGTGTTGACATGCAAGCTGAAGAAGAAGAAATGGTAAGTGTCACTTTAGAATATTCATGTATACAGATTATCTAGATTTCATTATCAACTACTTATGAACACATACTTTATTATATCCACAATATTATAGAGGTCAGTGTTTGCTTAATGTTTCCATTTCTAAACTGTTTCATCATCTGCATAGGCTGTCGATGTCCAGAATCTTCGGGGGTTCCAGCACGTGGACAGACTGGCTGAGTACCTGGTGGATCTGCGGGACAAGACCTCTCTCTGCCTGAGTAACCGGCAGGCAGGGGAAATCATTGCACTGTGGGACAGCTTGGAGGAGGTGGACAAGCAGCGGGCGGTGTATGCAGCACGCCACCAGGACAGGCTTTTGAGTGGCCGCTTCAGGACACCGAAGAAGCCCTCAAAGACTCCTGGTGTGGAGAGCACCACCCGCTGCATGCTGGGGGCAAGTAGTGCTCCTGCTCAGTGGCCTGACTGCTGTTGGTTGGTGGAGAGCATTTTTATCAGACTCTGTGATCTCCACCGATCCCCAGTCAGGAAAGGCAAGGGGGCCATTTCCAGGTGGTCCCTTATTCTTAGGGACTACAGTAAGATTCGGCAGCTGGTTGTTGGCAACTACCTGGTGATGCAGGGCACCCAGATTCAGCTGGTGGCAGTAAATCAAACCACCCTCATCAGCTGGCACAACAGCAGGCAGAAGAAGCAGGAGCTGTCTGTTGTGCTGCAGGGCACTGCTCTGCTTCCAGCCCTCCCTGAGTCTGATGAGCCTCTTCAAGCGGCCCGTGTCCTCCCTGCTGTACCCACGCCAGCACAGCACGAGCACCAGTACCGGCTCCTGGAGAGTACAGCTGGTCAGGCTCAACAGAGACAGAAGGCCTCTTCTCTTCCACTTCCCATCCTGCCAAAGGGAAGAGCAAAGAGGTCTCTCTCCATCACACCTCCAGCACCAGCACCTGCTCTCCAACCTCAGGTCAGCTTCGTCACCCCAACTGGACAAACTTTCTGTTTTGTACCAGTTGCCTTTCCGGCTGCAATTCAGGGCACCACACCACCAACCATTATTCCTGTCGCCACACTCGGAGCTGGGGCCACACCAAAGCGGATATACAGGCGGACTGTAGGGGCAAACACCTGCAAAAAGTGTGGCCAGTTCCGCACTGCTGAAACTGGACACGGCCAGTACCGCGGGAGAGCGTTTTGTCCGCAGACAGAAACACTCTCCAAAGAACTTTGGTTGGAGGAAATGAGGAAAACATTTGGCAAATAATAATGTAAACAAATTGTAAATAATATTTAATGCTTGTAAATAATAGTTGTTTTGTAATTTGGTTATTTTTTTATACTTACATTTATTGGTTTGTTGTGAATAGTAATGTCAGTGTTGTATTATTGTATTTAAAGTCTTTGTTGTATTTATTGTACTTTTGTGGTGTTTTAATAAAATCTTTCAAAAAGTATTTCCTTATTTATTTTTTCTCTCAACAAACAAAACTGGTGTTCTGCAGTTGTACACGTGTTTTAATGTTTGTATAAAATAATATAATGCGGTGACAACATTTGATAGTTTTAACATTCACTCTTTAAAGCAGTACTCAGATCCTCTACCTAAGTAAAAGTACTAATACTAGACTTAAAATACTACATTACAACTAAAAATCCAGCATTCATGCATGCAGTAAAATGTAGAATAGTTAGCTCTAAGATGTAGTGATGTACACTTTCAAAACAATTCATATTATGGAGTACAAGTACATCACATCTACTGTATACTTAATTAAACGTGTCATTGAGTCATACTATTTATATAGCACTTTTCACAAATGAAATACAAAACAAAGTGCTGTTTAACAAGGGACTATATTTAAAATAAACATAAAACTGTGACAGAATGCCAAATGTATGGAACATGACTTATGTAGTTCCCTAGTTCACGGGTTTGAATCCCGCTTGCAGCGTTTCCGAAAAAATGTAAAAAACATTCAAAGTTTCCCAGCTAAAAACACATCAATCAAGTAAAGATTTCACTTTTTTTTATTTTCTCTAATTTTTTCCTCTTTTTTTCTCTTTTTCTTCCTTTTTTCTTCTTCCCCCTTCTCCCCCCTTCTTCCCCTTCTTTGATGGCCGAGTGTTCCCCAGCTTTCGAACTGTTCTTTCTCTGTCCGTCCGTCTTTCTCCGTACATCTCTCCCGGCTCTGTTACTGAATATCCTCGCTCCAAATGTAACCTCTCAACCCTCTCCTCTTTCCTTTTGTCTCCATGTTCTCCCCTCCTCCCCTCGCTCTGGCTTTTTAAAGTGCTCCCTCTGGGGCCTTCCCATGTCATTACTCCAGTCCTGGATTCAAAATGTCATTAAAGTCATTGCTTTAGTCAGAATTTATTTCAATTAGACCCAGTCACCCAGGGACTCCCAATCCCTGGGTTGCTGTATTCTCCTCCTCCTTCTTCTTCTTCTTCTTCTTCTTCTTCTTCTTCTTCTTCTTCTTCTTCTTCTTCTTCTTCTTCTTCTTCTTCTGCGTTGTTTCTTTTTCTCCAGCCATAACTGAGGGTGACATTGATTCTGAGAGAATGACCCCATGTATCAACACTGTTCCATCCTCTGCTTTGCCGAAAAGACCAAAACCATGGTGCACTCTTCCCTCTACACGTAGCTGATTGTTTCTCAACAATGGAAGCTTGAATATTGAATCTCTGAAGGGACAATTGGCACTACTGACTCCTTACCTCAACGGACAGCTGATTATAATCACAGGACTGCAGTCAACAGAAACCAGCATTCTTTAACAATTTACAGTTGATTTTCTCCAAATGTACTTAACATTTTACAATTAATGAAATGGAAGACAGACCACATCAACGCTTTGATGTGCATGGACTGAGCCTCCAAAGGCCACAGGGCCTGGGGAGGCTCAGTGCCATTTCAATCAGGAGAGACTTCGTTTTGGCAATCAATATTGTATTAATTACCATGAATAAAACCATTGAAATATATTAGTCTTTGACAATCACACCCCATCACAATGAGATATATGTTTTAAGGGGGGGGGGGAGCCAAGTAGCCCCCCCACTGCTGAAGCACAGGCAGTACGAGAAGAATAAAGACCTTTCTGAGCATGACAGCATGGAGAAATGTCCCAGAAGAGACACTACATACTCATATACACCTGAACATCAGCAGGAGAGGACTCTTTAAAGTAGAGAAACTACATACTGATATACACCTGAACATCAGCAGGAGTGGACTCTTTAATAATGTGGAACTTGAAACATTGTTTAAAACAAGGTTAAGCAGTAACAACATATATGATATTGTAAACATGAGCTTAAGCTACAGCTTAAATTAAGATAACAAATAATTGACTATTTAATCAGAAAAGGAGCATGGGAAAATGAACATAAAATGAATGCTTGAAATGTATATCTGTGGTAACTGTCATTGTTATAAACATAAAGTCCCATTGGTTCATTTACATCATGAATAATTAGATCATGAATAAAACATGATCAAGACCTAAAGGCTCTTTAAACAAATAGTAACAACTCATTTAAATAGCATGGAAATACACAGAAGAGCTGGCAGTGTGCACTTCATCCTCATAATGTCATTCCATATGAAAGGTAATATGAGTATGCTTCCAAAACATGACACACTGTTACTGTGCACATTTAATGCAAATCAAACACTGTGTATAATATAATGAATTTTACCGCAATATAATATGTAAATCATAAAGCAGATGCAAATCCTTTACAGAACAAATTAACAAAGTCTTTGTTCATATTTTCATAGTTGTATGTAAATGATCTTTGTTTGAATGGTGATTAAAATGCAAATGAAGTCCTTGGTGTTGGCCAGTTGCCCATTGTTGTTGCCAGTAACAGTTGTTTTTTGTTAAACAAATGTTTATTGCTGGTCATTTGAAAAGATAATCTGAGAATTACATTAGTGGTTTTGGAGTTGGGGTTTTGACATGAATTACAGTTTTCTTAATTAATCAGGTCCAAGGCCAAGCGTATAAACTCATCAACGTGTGTCGACCCAGGAATAATTAAAAACCATAGCTCTGAACATCCATTACGGGAGGTAGAATTGGAGTTTAATGTTTGACTTTGAACACTGCTTGATGGATCAGGTTTGCATGGATCAGTGTTTGTGGTTCAGGAATGAGCCATAAAACCCGGAATGAGTTAGCTTTTTCCAATTCAGGTTCCCTTGTGCCGGAGTCATCGTTTGGATGTGTTTTTGGTTAGATGTCTGAAATAAGGTCTGTGGTTAACACAAGCTGAAGAGCATTTCACATGTTGTTCTATGACGTTAAATACGTCAGATGATGCATAGCCATATGACTGTAATGTAGTTTGTTTATAGCCTAACATGTGCTGTTCTCTTCACTTCTTGCATGTGTGCTTCAGAAATCATACAAGTTGTGTTTACATGTAAAAATGATCCTGCTGTACAAAATGTTAAGTATCATAACTGTGCGTTTGCCACAGTTTATTTTCGGCAATAAACCAATGGAAAAATCCCATTGTTTTTGTCAAGGGAGCCTTGGCAATGCTAACTGTTGGGGAAATATTTCCCAAGGCCCATAGCTTTGACCCAGTTTATCAGTTCATGCTGTCCTGACTGAGCACACGCACCTGTAACCTGGCTGCTGTGCTCTCAGTGCTCTGTCTCCCTATTCCTGCCTGTTGAATCAGCTGATAGAGGTGTTATCATTCTATCTTGTTTTGCAGCATGTTGATTATTCTCTCTGAACTAGCTAAACACACAGGTCTGGGGTAGAGTTTTTCAGAATAGATTGTGGCATTTCAACCGTGTGGTCCACTCGTGGCCCGTGACATGTCTTGTGAATCCTCCGGCCGAAGCTCCAAATAAAGCGTCAGTGTTTGCTCTCCTCGTGTCTCTCTGAGTCCTGACTCCAATTGCTTCAGGAGTTTCCCCCTCACTAACCCCTGTATCGGCCTGCAACTGCACCACTCTATTCACTTGGTTTCTAAGGTCCTCGATGTAGGGTAATGATAAAGGCTATTGTCATACTTGACATTGCAAAAAAACTATGAAAATACATTTAGAATGGCAGGAATACATTAAACCAGTGTTGGGTTATCAATGTGTAAAGTCCAGAGTCCACAAATTGACCCAGGGAAACATTGAAAATTTGACCTAGGGAAAAAAAACATTGCAGAGAACATAAAACAGATGGAAGGTCTCCTCAATCTGTCATATAGAGCAGGGGTTCCCAACCCCCGGTCCACGGACCGGTACCGGGCCAGCCATGCATGGGGTGGTAAAACAGTACAACAGGAAAGTGGAGAAAATGGAGGCGGAAATCCTCCAAACTGTAATACTGTTGGATCCAGGATGAGTAGAAGAAAAATTATTTTCATTTCATTTCAAACCTTTATTTAACGAGATTAACGAGACCTGCAGCATATAGGTTCCACATGAAACATACAACAATAAAGGACATCATACATTATATTTACAGGATACATTTACATAGTTATAGACATTTACAAGTGCCCATAGTATCAACAAGCATTTCATTTAGCCTAGCTTTAAAAACATGCAGAGGAATGAGATTGCTCAGTTTCAATTCTTGCTCAAGATTTTTCCAAGCAAGTGGAGCTGAGCACATAAAAGCTGTCTTACCTAAGACACTCCTTGCTCTTGGCACATCTAACAATAGTACATCATAATGAGAAATGTATTTAGCCAATTTATTTAGCCATCTTCCACCCTCCGGAGAAAACCAATGTTGGTCGATTTTATCCACGATCTTGTTCTTTCGGTCATGACCCCCCCTTCCGGATCATAGGTGAGGGTAGGAATGAAGATGGACAGTAGATGGAGAGTATTGCCTTCTTGCAGCTTCCTTTCTACACAATGGCGATGTAAAGCGACAGCAATAGCTCCTCTCTCAAGAACAATACCCTTAGACACTGGAGCTCCTCTACTTGGGGTAAGAAGTCGTTCCTTACTTGGAACGCACAGTCCATCGGTTTTCTGCGGAGAACCATGGCCTTAGACTTTGAGGTGCGGATAAAATAGAAATATTTCACTAACAAACATTAGTTTTTTCATTACCTATCTCCTTTTTTTGTAACTATACTTTTATTTTTTCTAAAAAATGTTGTATTGGCCTTAATGTAAAGATTAATGAATGATTCAACCCAAAAGCTAACAGTGATCATACCTTCTGATGATCTATAAAAGAATGCTAGGTTTTCTTGTGTCTCTTTTAATCTCAATGACTTTGTTTGGCT